CCTGGTGGCCAACTAAAAGAAACATCTGACCTCTGTGATTGCCAACAAGGGTTTTGCCACCAAGTACTAAGTCATGTTTTGCAGAGGGGTCAAATACTTATTTCCCTCATTAAAATGCAAATCAATTCATAACATTTTTGACATGCGTTTTTCTGGATTTTTTTATTGTTATTCTGTCTCTCACTGTTCAAATAAACCTACCATTAAAATTATAGACTGATCATGTCTTTGTCAGTGGGCAAACGTACAAAATCAGCAGGGGATCAAATACCTCACTGTAAGTGAAGACAGACAGACAGGCAGTGTCCTCCCACCTGATTGGTGGGCTGAAGCAAGGCACCAGCAGCCTGTGGACTTTGCCAGTCTAGACATAGGCCTAGCATGAATTGGGACAGACAGAATCCCCAAAGGACCATGATAGGACTTACAGAACAGTTGACTTAAAGTTCATCTCACTTGGAATTCTGATTCTGATTTGTGGTGAGAACCAAGGGTGGACAGACTTCTGACTGGCCAAAGTCAAAGAACATTCCAGCGCCATTCTATTTCATTGTTGTTTTTTTCTTGCATTTTTCTAGCTGCCGATTACTGTAGTTAATTGGTCAGAAATGTAAAATAACTGATTGTCAAAGTATAGTTCATTCTCTAACTAAAAACCAGCATACACTGTGGCCCTTAGGGGCCCCAGGCTGTGTAGATAGGACAGGCCACCCCTGCTGTAGAGGAAGAATTGTTTTCAACCTTTTAGGACTGATGTTTGTTTTCCCTACTGAGCACTGCCTCTGGACACAACAGTCACATACAGGACAAGGATATGCTTACCTATACTGGTCCTACAGACTTTAGTCAAATACTGTACTGTTTAAGTAAGGAAAAGAAAACACACCATAATTTAAATCAAGTGCGAATCATTATGACCGTAGATAGATATTTGTATGTATACTGTATATAGGTGGGGAAAAAAGTTTGAAGGGTTGGAGCAGGGAATTGAACCTGTGCATTACCGCTAGACCACAGGCTCTGCACAGATACATATTTGTACATGTCAACATTGATGTGTTGACCAAGTTGTTTTTATCTCTATGACCCCTCTCCAAACTGCAATGGTATCTTGTAAGTGTATTTACAGTTCTGTAAAGTGGTCCTTCCAACGTGAGTTCGATTCCCGGGACCACCTGTATGTAAAACGTATGCATGCATGACTGTAAGTCACTTTGGATAAAAGCATCTGGGTTATTATATTAAAACAATGGTGTGTGTGTAACAGGTGAATTTGATATTGAAGACATACAGTGGGGAGATCAAGTATTTGATACACTGCCGATTTTGCAGGTTTTCCTACTTACAAAGCATGTAGAGGTCTGTAATTTTTATCATAGGTACACTTCAACTGTGAGAGACGGAATCGAAAACAAAAATGCAGAAAATCACATTGTATGATTTTTAAGTAATTAATTTGCATTTTATTGCATGACATAAGTATTTGATACATCAGAAAAGCAGAACTTAATATTTGGTACAGAAACCTTTGTTTGCAATTACAGAGATCATACGTTTCCTGTAGGTCTTGACCAGGTTTGCACACTGCAGCAGATATTTTGGCCCACTCCTCCATACAGACCTTCTCCAGATCCTTCAGGTTTCGGGGCTGTCGCTGGGCAATACGGACTTTCAGCTCCCTCCAAAGATGTTCTATTGGGTTCAGGTCTGGAGACTGGCTAGGCCACTCCAGGACCTTGAGAGCCACTCCTTAGTTGCCCTGGCTGTGTGTTTCGGGTCGTTGTCATGCTGGAAGACCCAGCCACGACCCATCTTCAATGCTCTTACTGAGGAAAGGAGGTTGTTGGCCAAGATCTCGCGATACATGGCCCCATCCATCCTCCCCTTAATACGGTGCAGTCGTCCTGTCCCCTTTGCAGAAAAGCATCCCCAAAGAATGATGTTTCCACCTCCATGCTTCACGGTTGGGATGGTGTTCTTGGGGTTGTACTCATCCTTCTTCTTCCTCCAAACACGGCGAGTGGAGTTTAGACCAAAAAGCTCTATTTTTGTCTCATCAGACCACATGACCTTCTCCCATTCCTCCTCTGGATCATCCAGATGGTCATTGGCAAACTTCAGACGGGCCTGGACATGCGCTGGCTTGAGCAGGGGGACCTTGCGTGCGCTGCAGGATTTTAATCCATGACGGCGTAGTGTGTTACTAATGGTTTTCTTTGAGACTGTGGTCCCAGCTCTCTTCAGGTCATTGACCAGGTCCTGCCGTGTAGTTCTGGGCTGATCCCTCACCTTCCTCATGATCATTGATGCCCCACGAGGTGAGATTTTGCATGGAGCCCCAGACCGAGGGTGATTGACCGTCATCTTGAAGTTCTTCCATTTTCTAATAATTGCGCCAACAGTTGTTGCCTTCTCACCAAGCTGCTTGCCTATTGTCCTGTAGCCCATCCCAGCCTTGTGCAGGTCTACAATTTTATCCCTGATGTCCTTACACAGCTCTCTGGTCTTGGACATTGTGGAGAGGTTGGAGTCTGTTTGATTGAGTGTGTGGACAGGTGTCTTTTATACAGGTAATGAGTTCAAACAGGTGCAGTTAATACAGGTAATGAGTGGAGAACAGGACGGCTTCTTAAAGAACAACTAACAGGTCTGTGAGAGCCGGAATTCTTACTGGTTGGTAGGTGATCAAATACTTATGTCATGCAATAAAATGCAAAATAATTACTTAAAAATCATACAATGTGATTTTCTGGATTTTTGTTTTAGATTCCGTCTCTCACAGTTGAAGTGTACCTATGATAAAAATTAGACCTCTACATGCTTTGTAAGTTGGAAAACCTGCAAAATCGGCAGTGTATCAAATACTTGTTCTCCCCACTGTATTTATGTTGCTCTTACAATGTGTGTTTGAATGATACTGTAATATCTTTGTAACCTGAGTTCTGAGTTTTGGATGAGTTTTGGATCATGAGAATAAAGTAAATACAAGAATATTCGTTATCAATAATCACATTTATTGAGAGGACATTGACCATGCACACTATTGGAAGGAAGAAATATACACATCAATAACAGCCTTGTTGGGGTTAGAACAGTACCTGCTTATAATATTTTAGTTAACATTATAAATCAATAAAAACAACGGAATCATTTTTTAAACTGACAAGTCCTCCTCTAGACCTATAACACATATAAGCTTGGAATGTGAAGGGGTACACAATAGCATGAAAAGCATGTGTCCCTCCTTTAGGATGAAACCTGTACAGTTATAACAGTATTAAGTAGTAAGTGAAACATTCTCAAACAATGCCCTCTTCGTATTAGGAACTGCCATAGGAAGATAGTGAGTTTTCACAGACATACAATTTTCTGTACAATTAATTATTTGTAGTTGCAGTATATGAGTGATAGCTATTGGCTTATGGTGCCCATGTACAGAAGTAAGATGAATTAATGACCAAACGTACTAGTTTCAGCTTTTATGGTTTATGGATAATAGTTAATAGGACTTAATATGACTGATATTTTATGCTTTTTATATACCAACGTACAATAACCCAACCTTGAAATATCACCATTAAAACATGTATACTATACTCATATGCAGATTTCTAACAAAAATATATATTAGTTATTTCCACCGAACCTTTCAGTCATTACTGCTACAATCGTAGGAGGTCAAAAACATGCCAATAATAGCGTTTAGGAGAACTCTTATTTTCCTGAGAAATAAACAAATTAACTTTTAAGCCTCGCAAAGACATCAATTTCCAAGCAATTCACACTGCGGTTCAGTGTAGAACTACACATTGCACATTTTCATGAAAAGAAGAATATACACTTTCTTTTCGAGTGTAACATAAACATTTTATAGAAAAAAAACTGTCCTCTAGGAACATGGGCATAGAAACTCTTTACTGTGGACATCACAGACACAAACCATTCAGGGGAAAGGCCTAGAACTGGAAAAGCATAATGTGTTATCAAACGTTAATAACCTAAATTCTTCTCGTTAAATAAATCCTTCTTGTTTTTGGTGTGACTCCAGTGGAATCTCGATCTGTTGCCAGCAGGTATAAAGTAGTAAGTATAGTAACTTCTTGATACAGACTTTTTACAATAAGTCACAAATACTTGGGCCGACAGTGATGCGGTTTAACCTATCTTAACATCGCCCCAATCACATTGAATACCACCCAAAAACACCTATTATATTATTTTAAAAAGATAAATCCATCACCACCATAACATAAACCAAAGATCTACTCACATACAATACGGTACACACCAAACACACACGTAAAAAAACATTCAACCAAACAAAAACTAGAAATAAAACAAAAAGTTATCTTAAGACCACAGATTTAAAGTTATCTTAAGACCACAGATTTAAACGTAGACTCATATATGACGTATATGCAGAAAGTAAACAGTATAGTGGGTCAATTTCTACTGTGTTGGTCCCGTACCTACCACGCTCTAACAGCGTGAAGCAAACCTGTGCACATGAGCAGATACTGTGTGTGACTGTGTGAGAGAATCTTGCATCTCGCTCATCTCAATATTTGCGGTGCTGCTCGTGGCAACGTCATTTCACTGAGTTACCTTTAAATTACAATGACGCAATGTTCAAAGACTCAGTGACACTGTTTAAAAATGACTTTAGTGCTCTATGTGGGAAATACTGAACATGATCTGCTAGTTGTGAAGAGAGAAGGTGATTGCCTGAGTCAAGCTGAGGGCGCAGAGATAGGGTTCAAAGGTCTTCGAACACAGCCATGTGATAGGACAGAAGAGTTTGACTTCAGACACTTACAAGCTGAGGCTGGAGCTGGGAGCTACAGTACAGTGTGGATGGTGGAGTAGTTGCATTGTGGTGTTTTTGTAAAGTATTTGAAGAGAGAGTTGGGCTGAAGACAGAACAGAGATACAGTGTCCACTGGCAAGTGCTGTATGTGTGTGTGTGTGTGTGTGTGTGTGTGTGTGTGTGTGTGTGTTTAACACCTGACAGCATTCCCATTATCCTTCTCTGTGATCATGACGGGGAGCGGGCTGCGGGGTGGAAGGGGGCGGAGGGGGTCCATTAGGGAGGCGGTGAGGGAGGGTGTCAGGGAGGGCATACGGACACGAGGCGCCTCAATTGAGTTCCCTCTCACAGTGATGTGGTCCCAGCCACCCTGAGGAGAGAGAGAGAGAGGAAGAGGGGGAGAGAGAGAGAACGAGAGAGTGTGAGAGAAAGATAACAGACGGAGAGAGACAGTCAGACAGCCCCCCCACCAAGAAAATCTTCAAATGTAATGTAAATGTAAAGTCATTGTTGACTCAGAAGCAGGTTGGTGGGTTAGGGTCAGGGTTAGAGGTAAGGTTAAGGGTCTCACTCCGATGCCGTAGTCCCAGGACTGTCCCTTGGGCTCCATGGGCTGAACCCCCAGACGGTGACACACTGTCCCACAGCTCAGACTTTGGCTGCCTTGCACCTTGTCAGCTATGATCCACACCTACACAACAACGAGAAGGGTTGAGTTAGTCAACACAGTGCAATGTAAAGAGCGTTGAATTTTGAGAAAAGAGAAAGTCATTATGATGAATTACTACCAACAACAACCACCCAGGTTTTAGATTGTAGGTTCTGCTCACCTGGTCTAGAGGTCCTACGGAGACCTTGCGTACATTGTTGCAGATGTGTTCCCATGACGATCCCTGGGGGTAGCTGGGAGTCAGGCCCTGTCTGAACCACAGGTTACCTGGATAGAGAGCACAGCATTAAAATCCTGCTAAAAATAAATAATTGAGATGGTACAACTAATAGACAGCTGATAATAAAGGCAAATGTCATAGTATGTCATAAAATTCTTGTCTGTTGTACCATTTTGATCCACAGTGTAGACCGACGTCCTCCCTACAGACACCTGTTGGAGTGTCTGTCTGGCAGGAGAGGGGATGTGGTACCAGCAGTCTCCTGCAGGGGGCAATAGTACATTAAACAGCCAGTGGTTAGTCTACTTTCATCATAAAGTGCATCTCTGTGATATGAACCAGAGCCCAGAGAGGTAAGCTCCTTCAAAAAGGAAACATTGAGCTACAGTATCACTGTAAAGCACTTTGTGACAACTGCTGATGTAAAACAGCTTTAGAAATACATTTGAGTGATTGACTGAACTGTTAATTAGCAGTAAGACTGAAGGGAGACCCTTGGTTCTGTCAGAGAGTGTGGGTTCTGCGTGGTTCTCTGACTGACCTGCAGGGCTCTCTGCGGACACGGAGCCCCTGTAGAAGGCAGATCCATCCCTGGCAATGGCCCACACCTGGTTGGCCCCACCGATGGAGATAGACTTAAAAGGCTGGTCTGTGCCCACGTGAAGCCACGACGTCCCCTAGAAACACACACAACCACTTCAGTTATCAAATACAATGTGTGCGTATTCATGGTGAACATGTGTGTTGTATGTTTACATATTGTGTTTGTGTGTGTGACTCACGGCAGGCGTCAGTAGGGTGACCCCAAGTCTACAGAGCACGTCTCCCTTGTTACTGATGGCCCACAGAGGGACCGGCTCAACACTGCTCTGAGCTCCACATGGGACGATGGTCACGTCACTCAACGGGATGGGCGGGACTTCCTGCCACGGCCCTGTGGTTGTCAGTTTACACTTCCTGTCAGAGGAAATACACACACATATATATACAAAAGTGTGTGGACACCCCTTCAAATAAGTGGATTCAGCTATTTCAGCCACACCCGTTGCTGACCGGTGAATAAAATCGAGCACACAGCCATGTAATTTCTATAGACAAACATTGGCAGTAGAATGGCCTTACTGAAGAGCTCAGTGACTTTCAACGTGGCACAGTCATATAGGATGCCACCTTTCCAACAAATCAGTTCGTCAAATTTCTGCCCTTCTAGAGCTGCCCCGGTCAACTGTAAGTGCTGTTATTGTGAAGTGCAAACGTCTAGGAGCAACAACAGCTCAGCTGCGAAGTTGTAAGCCACACAAGCTCACAGAACGGGACCGCCGAGTGCTGAAAATCGTCTGTACTCGGTTTCGAACACTCACTACCGAGTTCCAAACAGCCCCTGGAAGCAACGTCAGCACAAGAACTGTTGGTAGGGAGCTTCATGAAATGGGTTTCCATGGCCGAGCAGCTGCACACAAGCCTAAGATCACCATGCGCAAGCGCAATGCCAAGCGTCGGCTGGAGTGGTGTAAAGCTTGCCGCCATTGGACTCTGGAGCAGTGGAAACACGTTCTCTGGAGTGATGAATCACACGTCACCATCTGGCAGTCCGACGGACAAATCTGGGTTTGGCGGATGGCAGGAGAACGCTACCTGCCCGAATGCATAGTGCCAACTGTAAAGTTTGGTGGAGGAGGAATAATGGTCTGGGGCTGTTTTTCATGGTTCGGGCTAGGCCCCTTAGTTCCAGTGAAGTGAAATCTTAAAGCTACAGCATACAATGACATTCTAAACGAGTCTGTGCTTCCAACTTTGTGGCAACAGCTTGGGGAAGGCCATTTCCTGTTTCAGCATGACAATGCCCTCGTGCACAAAGCGAGGTCCATACAGAAATGGTTTGTGGAGGCTGTTATAGCAGCAAAGGGGGGACCAACTCCATATTATTGCCCATGATTTTGGAATGAGATGTTCGACGAACAGGTGTCCACATACATTTGGTCATCTAGTGTACAAGGGTTGTTAAAATAGGAGATAAGTCGCACCTAGACCAGTGTACCGGTAGTTAATTTAGGTGTGTTAGTAATGGGCTGGAGCAAAAACATGCACTCCTTGTGGGTCCCCAAGACCAGGATTGAAGAACTCTGCCCTAGAGATGATCTAAGGTCAGTTATTGTGTTTCCCCCAATGGCTAAGGTTAGGATTTAGGTAGAGTAAAGCTGATCCTAGATATGTGCTTACGGGCCATTTTTCTACCTAGAGCTCAAACTCAGGGTTGTTTAAACAGAGTACTGAGTCGGCAGAATGAGGCAGACCAGACCATTGTATCACCTAGGTGGGTGCTACACTTCAGTAGTGGACTATCCAGCCTACCTACAGAGGACCAGACAACGAATGAGGTGCCTGATCAAAAGCACCGGGCTGTCTAAGTAACTGACTGACGCTGCTCCCTCTCTGTGCCATCGAGGCTCCATCCGCTTAAGTACTGCCCAGCCTTTCTGAACTACCTGGCTGAACAACACCTCGTCATCTGAAGCTGTGGAAGACCATCGCCCAACACCTGCCAGATCTCTACATTTGTTTTGTTTGTTTTTACAGCGTCTTTGAGATTCTCTTTGTAATGAAAAGCGCTATATAAAATACTTATATTATTATTATTATTATTATGTGCTGACTAAACAAACAGTGATGAGGGAACAGAGCCATTGTTCTGTAGTAACATACAGTACCTGGCCCATCGCCTACGACGAACAAAGTCCTTCAAGGTCTTGTGGCCATGATACGACCTGGAAGAGTCCATACAGAGGGAGAGAAAACACATGATAGTGAGGTAAACAAATATTATGGTTGCTTTCATGCAGGGAAAAGATTCAGCTTGATATGCGATAGATAGACCAATGAAGATGTATTGGAGAAGGTTAGATACACTTACGTTGGGAAATCAGCTGCGTATTGCCAACCCTCTCTGTCTGTCCCTCCGGAGATACCGTAGTCAATGGCCCAGTCTGCTACCTGATAAGAGACAAAGCAGTTAGCAAAAAAAGCTTTGTTTGTAGGACCGTTTTAGACATCTACTGGTACTCTGTGCATGTTTAGTTTAAGTTCAAAAGTGATAATGTCCATAGAGCTCGCCAGCAGAAACGAGTTACCCCTGGTTCGTTCAGCCATTCCTATGGGGAAAATGAATGGGGAACGAACGCCGAAAATAAGGTCTGAGGTTAACACAGGCTTAGGAGATCTTATAAGTTTTGTTCTATGAGATATCAGTCAGTTAACATCACCTTTATGAATTATGAAGCCTTTATGTACTTGATTACATAAATGCTTCAAAATTCACAAAAACTGACGTAGCTGATGAAGATGATCTCATAGAACAAAACGTATAAGATCTCCTAAGCCTGTGTTTACCACAGACCGTATTTTTGGTATTTATCCTAAACTCCTACAAAATCCCCATTCATTTCCCCATAGGCTTTGTCCAATGAGCCAAGGCGGAGTTAGTGCCTACAAAAAGACGCCATTACTATTGCTCTCTATTGAGGGTAAAATTGACATTTCTTTGTCCTTCTAATGGTACCCACCCATGTCCAGTGAGGGGATGGAGGCTTGGTGTTGGCCTTGGTACACTCCTGCAGTCCCGTCGCATCACTCCACATGTAGCGATCTGTTGGGAGGCCTCTGTTGGTATATCCTGTGACTGGGTTCCACCTCTGGTTTTCATAGATGTAGACACACGTCACATCTGTCTGGGTGTAGATGTTATCTGTGCTGCTGGCCAGACCTAACAAAGACAAGAGAGAGGTTATAGTCAGGAGCTGAGACAAAATAGAGCTGATAAATACCCTTTCACCCTGACCAAACTGGCCCTGCGCTTATGTCCGCGAGCACAATCGTGCGCATGTTGATTTTGTCTATCCCCACCAGATGCAATCATGACACACTGGTAAAAATACCAAAACTAACTGAGAACCAACTATATCAATTTGGGGACAGGTCAAAACACACAAGAAACATTCATGGACATTAAGCAAGGTTGCTAGCATTTGTCCTGGAAGATAAACATTGGGTTGTTATTTTACCTGACATGCACAATACGGTGCTGAATCATACAAAATGGTGTGTTTCTCTACTCTGACGATTAATCCACAGATAAAAGGGGAAACCTAGTTTGTTTTTTGTTAGTTATCTTTGATTAATCTCTCCTCCAATGAGTAGATGGGAGAGGCGGGACTTGCAGTGCATTGAGCGTCTCAAATAGAACCAAGTTCTATTTTAGCGTTCAGCAACGCAGATGTTCGTTGACGCGTGCAAGCAGTTTGGGTGAAATGATTGAATAACATGCAAGCGTTTATTTATTTTGCAATGCTCGCACACACAACGTTGCCGGTTTGGTTTCCATGTTAGTGGCTATAGAGTACTTGGTTATGTTTGGCATATGCTTTAAGTCCAGTCCAGTAGGTTTATGTTTAGTATATATTTAGTGTGTTTACCCTGGAAGAATCCACCTCCATAGCCGCCAGTGTAGACCCAGGCAGTGTGGTCATAGCCCACCCCCCAAACCACCCCCAGACTGTTACACTCCACCAGACGCAGGTGACCCCCCACCTGACGCCAGAACCTACAGACACACACACAGACAGAACAGACAGGACAGACAGGACAGACAGGACAGAGCAACGTGTGGTTAGAGACAAAGGAAAGAAAAGTCTAACATTTTCCTTGAAGAGTGACTGATAAAACATTTGTTGACAGTTAAGACTATTCAGTTGTAAGTGCATATTTCTGATCAATAAATATCTATCTATTTATCCACAAATAACAAATTCATGATATACTGTAGTTTTGTAATCATAGGTTTCATTTATCAAGCCTTTATAAAGCATTGATAACAGCCCAGAAGACGTGTCTTACATCTGGTCACAGGGTGTGGGGTAGGGACAGGCCTCCAGGCTAGGTGAGGGCTCACAGACGAAGATGTCTCCTTTACAGGTGACTGACCAGATGGCCTGTTTAGAGGGGGGACCCTGGATCCCCCGGGAGTCACAGCACGACACACTCAGCAGGGCCAGCTGGGGGTACAGAGACATAGTCAAGACATTAAGGCCCCACTTTTACCAAACGACAACTTATAAAGGATGTATATAGCATACGTAAAGTCTTCATAAGCCCTACATAGAGGCAAAGTCGTACTACATAAAGGGTCATATAAAAATATCGTTATATCTGGTTCTTTGTGGCATAACCCTTTCGCCATCCTATATTTAGCATGACATTTGCTTATGAATAAAACATATGATTTTCAGTGAAAATGGAGCACTGTACTGTGTGTCAGGTTCAGGTGTAAGACAGTGATCATACAACCTACCCAGTCGTGCATCTCCACCTCGGTGGCAGCAGCCAGTCTGATAGGCCACCTCTGTTTAGTCCTCTCTGCTGTGTAGATGGCAAATGTGTGTTTGGAGTCATTCAGCACCGGCACCAAGATAGTCACCTCATTGATGAACGCATGCAGGTACTGGAAAGAGGGAGTAAATTAGGAATAAATAACTCATTACAGATCACAGAAAACACACACACAAACAGACACACACATAAGCACACAAAGACATTGTGGCCCTCCCCTCACCTTCTTCTCCTCGTTGAAGGTGTAGTAGAGGAAGAGGATGCCGTCCTTGTTTCCCTCGGGTCCTGAGAACTGCTCCAGGACAAACCTCACGTCCACCCACTTATGGGGCTTCCAGTCCCTCCACCACTGCATGGTCCCTTTCTTCACCCACACAGACTGGGACGGAGGTGGGGAGGGAGGGAGAGGAGGAGGGGAGGAAGGGAGAGAAGGAGGGGACGAGGGAGGGAGACTAATCAACGTCTATACAACAAGGACAAGTCATAAACAGACCTAATTAAATCAAGCAAGCAACCAAAAAAAGCATTTGTAAGCGTTCAAGTTGTAAGGACTTTCAAGTTGTTGGTACCTGTTCTATGGCCTGTTCGTAATGTTTAAAGTGGTCCATCTCTCTCTTAGAGCGTTCGCTGAGCTGATCAAAGATCTGTTTCCGCCAGGCAGCTGTCTGGGCTGGACTGATGGACAGACTCATGGACTGGACTGAAGATGTCAGGGCTGAGAGAGACAATAAGACAAAGGTCAAAACTTGATCAACAATGTGTGAGGAAACACTCCAGTGGCTCAACAACAACAACAAGGAATAAGCAGAGCGACACTGTTACATCAGTCAGAAGTGTGTATTCTGGTGTAATTGTGAGTTGAAGCTGGAGTTTTGCATATTGTTAGGCTTGTTTTGATATGCAGGAGAAATACAATTTCAGGGCGATACAATATCTACAGTATCTGTGTCTCACCTGTGGCAGAGCTGAACCAGTTGAGCTGGGAGTGACAGTCCACACCACAGCCTCCTCCACTGACCCATGCCCAGAGCGGGTGTTCATCCGCCCCATAAGGCTCCCCCTGATACAGGGTGTAGGTGGCCACCGAGGACAAGCTACAGGTGTCAGCCGAGTCCCCTCTCACCACGGCAGGCCCCACAGCCAGGTGAGTCTGGGTCTCTTCCAGGTCCACATTACTCCACTGGGGGTCCCCAGGCCCTCCAGACAGGCTGGGGGAAAGAACCAGGGCCGGAGGGGGAGACTTGGCCTCTGATTCCCCAAGAGCGACTTCCTCTTCTGGGATAGAGGGACTGGCAGTGGCGGCAGCGGTGGCCCCCTCCCGTTTGACCTCGCGGTCAGAGAGCATCTCAGAGATGAAGCTGTCGCTGGTGACCTTAGGGATGCGTGGTTTAGTGACGTCAGGGTCGATGGGAGGGGGCTTGGGGGGAGGGGAAGAAAGGCAGGCCCCTACTTCTAGGACCGCCCTCTGTGGATCGCCCTCTGTGTCCGAGTCTTCACTCATCACAGACTGGGCTCGGACCTCACCACTGAAGAAACAACCAGCACTGTGGGACGGACGGAGAGAAGAGAGAGAGAGAGTCAGAGAGGAGAGAGTGACAGAGTGAAAGTGAGATAGTAAGAAGGAGAGAGAGAGAGAGAGAGAGAGAGAGAGAGAGAGAGAGAGAGAGAGAGAGAGAGAGAGAGAGAGAGAGAGAGAGAGAGAGAGAGAGATTAGTATTACACAGGGCACCCAGCTGGCAGACTGTTTGGCTAATCGTTTTATGTAGACGAGATTGCCCAAGCATTGGAAATGTGTGTGTCCATGTCCACCTGTGCAGACTGCTAGTGCTGGCGGAGGAGTGGGACATGATGTCTCCGTCTCGGGGCACGTTGACAGCCTTCCAGGCTTTACCACTCAACTCACTGGAGGTCACACCCTGACGGAAATAAACTGCCCGGTCCACACAGCTGATACCCCACACCTGGACAGTGTCAGAACAAACAGACATTGACCTGTGTAGAATGCCTGACCAAACCTGTTTCAGCACTATGGACAGTGGCAAGTGAATATTTATAAACCACACCCAGGGAACTTACTTGACAATCTATTAGAAGATCTGTTAATAAACATTGATCAAAACCTTACCTGGTCGTTGAGCCCCACGTTGATCATGACCATCTCCCCGACCATCCCGATCCAGCCTGAACCACATGGGTTATGGGAGTTGATGCCACGCCTGAACCATACCTGACAGGTACAGAGAGATGATCATCAGGAACATACTCCTGACATTCTCACAGAGTGAGAGAGGGAAAGATATAGAGAGCATAAATTAAGCACAAAAGACTAAATGAGAGAGTGTTTCATATATATAGTCTTACTTTGTTGTCCTTGGTGACGGCCCACACTACGTTGTCCCCCACAGCTATGTGGATGGCCCCGGCTTCTGGGTTGGGAGAGTCCACCACCACCCAGGAGGAGCCTGACAGACAGAGAAGAGAAAAGAGACCATTAGACGCCCAGGTCTGACAGGACAGAATCTCTCTCTCTCTCTCTCTCTCTCTCTCTCTCTCTCTCTCTCTCTCTCTCTCTCTCCTCTCTCTCTCTCTCTCTCTCTCTCTCCCTCTCTCCTCTCTCCCTCTCTCCCTCTCTCCCTCTCTCTCTCTCTCTCTCTCCTCTCATAAACAGACACAAGCATGCGCTCTCTCTCTCCTTCTCTCTAACATACACACACACACTTCCTCTGTCAACCAGCCACCTTGTGGGCAGTCTCTGGTGATGCCCTCCCTGACGATGAGTTGACCCTCCCAGAGCACAGCCCAGACCAGGTCCCCTGGACCACAGCTGATCTGCACTACCTCCCCAGGCAGAGACACCTCCTCCCAGCCATCCCCCTCTGGGCTGTGGTGGTGGATACCCTCACGAAACCACACCTAATGACACAGATCAAACACACACAGGCAATTAGTCAATCAAATTGATTTGCTCGTTTAGGAATACATTTGTGTTGTATGTGTGTATGTGCATGCATTAGTGTGCGTGTATTACCTTGCCCTGTAGAGAGACGGCCCACAGAGACAGCCTCCCCCTGGGCTCCTCACTGATCTCCCAGCCCCCACAGCTGATGTCATTAAAGGGGTCTGGTAGGGGACCACTGTGACCTTCTGATGGGATCTGGTAACACAGAGAGAGACGGGTCAACACACACACAAGCACACACACACACACACACACACACAGGCAGGCAGGATGGCACAAGTGAGTACACACAGGCGTAAACACACATGCAGGGATACATGGATGGACACACACACAGGCCTAAACAAACCTACAGTACAATACAAAGTATGTACATGAAGAAAGCATTCACAGCAGAGGCACACAGTTACATCCTGGTTGTGACAGGTGATTATCATGCTCCAAATACACACCTTGGCCCAGGTGTCCGTGGCCTTGTACCTCCTGTAGCGGATCCATCGCCGGCGACGGACACACGAGTTCCACTTCTTGTCTTTGGTGTAGGTGGCAGGGAAGTCTATGGCATAGGTCCAACCCTGCAGATACACAGACAAACCCATTCACACATTAATCATCATAGGTGAGGGATAAGACAAGGACATAGAGGGAGGGAAGGAAAGAGAGAGGGAGAGAGAGAGAGAATGAGAGAGAAAGAAAGAGAGAGGGAGAGAAGAGGGAAAATATAAAATGGGGGAGACAAGAGAGAGAGAAAGATAGCGAAATGACAGAAAGAGAGAGTGAGAAAGAGAGCGAAGAACAACAGACACTCACTCCTTTCTCTGTGGGTTCTCCTCCAAAGGTCTCGTCAATGTACCAGTCCCCCTCCCACTCCCAGTTGGTCGAGGGAATTAGGAAACTGTCCAGGGGTTGATGTTCCAGCCCTGTGATGTCACTCCACTGCCAGCGGTCGCTCGGCAACAAGCGATCCGAGAAGTTATCCACTGGATTCCATCGCTGAGAGAGAGAGAGGGAACCATAAATGCAGCAGGTGCAAAAGAAGCACAAATACAGACACACACACACACACACACATACACACACTAGTGATGCGCAGGTCAGCTGTTTGTTCACCCGCACCCGCTAACAATTGCTAATAACCCATCTGCAAACGCGCGACTATATGTGATAAAGTGAAAACATGAGGCCTGCACCCAACCGTAACCCACAGATATAGAAAATGCACTGTACAGTCAGAGATGGCGGAACGATTTTTTGACAGGCCTATTTAGATAGTCCTATGTTTCTGCTTATATTTTCCGACATTTTGGTAGGCTATTTGTTAGTCAACTTGTCTAGCCTAATTAGATACATGCAGCTTCTCTTCTGTCATTACATGTTGCCCTAGAAGACTAAATAAACCCTTGATCGTCAGAATAATGTCTTAAATCATTAGAATGAATGGTTCAACCTAGTTGCCATGGTAAAGTTTGTTTTCTCTTTCATCTCTGCTTCTCTAGCGGAGAAAATATGTTTATCGACCGGGGAGGAAATGCAATAACAAGAAAATAAATACAAATGGAAAGATTTTCCGTGCAAAATTTCCAAATGACATCAGTTTGACCGTTTTTAAGGAAATTAAAAGCTGTTAAAATAACCCAAAATGTTACTGATAAGACTTCAGTTCGTCTTGGATGCATATTTGATGTGGTTGAAATACTCTCAGCTTTTATGACGCTGATAAAGATAACACCTTTACAGACAGTCCCTAAACTGTTCCATTCTGTTTCATTCTCTCAAAATGCTGAAATAAATAAATAATATTTCTCCACTCCCTTTCCCGAGTCAAAATTAACATTTGGTTTATCATTTTACTGCAAGGAATGCTTAATTCTGCAGGAGTTAATATTATATTAGGCTATGTGAGAGGTTATTGACCTACAGGCAGTGTCCAGATTTCAGTTAGGCTACTATTCCATCCATTTAACCGAATACTGTTCTGGCCCTCCCTTCTATTTATTTTCAACTCTCCGTTTCGCAGCTTTCCTATTATTGAATTAAACTTCGACATTTTCCTTTTTGCCTCAGTGGATCGAGGGTAACTTTTTCAAAAGCATTTGGAAATTGCTGTATATTTGGCGCCCTACAGTTAGGCCCTAAAGCTTAGGCTACGTACGAACACAAGATACAAATAATGAAAGAAGAACCTCAATGTAGCCTATAGATATGACTTGCACAATAATTATGCATTGATGGATTTTTTTATTAATAGTTTTCTTTTTATTTAACCGGCACCCACCGCCCTTCATCCACACACTATTTCATGACCCTAAACCTGTCCGTCCCGCGGACACACACACCCTGTACCTGGTTCTCGTATGTCTCCTCCTGGTAACGTATGGGTACATCACTAGAGTGGACATTCAGGTAAATGTGGTGGTCACAGGCGATACCCCAGCAACACTGCTGCACGGCAGTCACCCTCTTAAACTCTAACACGGCATCATGACACTGCTCCCACTGCTGCCCTCCGGTGGACAGGCTGTACACGCGCCCGTACACATCCACTGCCCACAGCAGGGACACAGGCATGGTCAGGCCTAGGGAGAGGGAAGACATACCAAAGTCAGATGCCTTGTTTTCATTTAGAAAGAGGGGTGATAAATGGGGGATTGGAGGATGGACAAATAGCAGAGGTCACAGAGAGGGAGGAGTATAGCTTAGGGGTTAACAGCTCAGTGCCAGTAACCGAAAGGTCGCTGGTTCTAATCCCCGAGCCAACTAGGTGAAAAATCTGTCGATGTGCCCTTGAGCAAGGCACTTAACCCTAATTGCTCCTGTAAGTCGCTCTGGATAAGAGCGTCTGCCAAATGACTAAAATGTAAATGTATAAGGGGGTATGGAGAGAGAGAGGCATAAAAGGGAGAGAGTTCCCTCAAATTACCCTCCTTGAGAGGTACACCCCCAGCCAAACTGCTTGGTCTAATAATAAGGAAATCCCATTTCTAATTAAAACAGTCCAGTGATGTAGCTAGGCTAGCCAGCAGGCCAGTGAGTCTGAATCAGCATGCTCACTGCTGACCTTCTGTTCAGCTCTCCCTCATGGCCCATGGCCCTGCCTCATCTCTCTTCTGAAAGCAGGGAGTGCAGAATAAGCTATAGTACAGAGTCTATCTCTATTCCATTTATGGGTAAAAGGCTAAACTGACCTTACACCAGTGTCTAGGCCGGGGCAGCTTCAACCTATTCCATCCTTTCCTGATCCAATACATTATGTAATGCCTGGGGCGAGTGATGCTCTTCAAAGGTGTAGCCCCTGTCACAAGCAATTAATAAACTCATCTAGCCAGAGAGATAAACCTCAGTGTACTGTCTGAAGCAAGCTGCGACCTGATCTAGTGACTCGCCCAATTGACTCGAGAGTCTCTAGATACTGGTAGTTGCAAACTGCAACATTGTAACTCACTGAGATAATACTGTGGCAAATGAATGACGTTTGCTACATTGTAATAGGGCGGTGAATGATCAACATTGATACAAAGTAGCTTATCTGGCACCTACGTGACACATAGTAGCTAAGCTTTTGGTTGGTTTATAAAGTAGTCTACTGCAGCATGCTAAACTTATCGCAGGTAGACTGCAATTTTTTGCATAACAGCTGACTGCTGCTATCAGCAAATCTACAACCACATAAAGGACACTCAACATTACAAACGTGGCATAATTATCCAATGAATGGCCTGGCTAGCACAGAGTAAATATTAGCTTGACATTGCTCTTTAAGGCATTACAGGGAGGCTTACCACTAAAGCACAGCAAGAAATTAAATAGTTAGCAATAGCTCATCACTTACCGTGTGTTCCCTCTCATAAACGGTATGGTAAGTCACTACAATTCATTCGTCATCAGATTGAATATACCATTAATTGCGATATTTTCTTTAATCCGAAACAGGAAGTGTGGTGTTTTACTGTAAACCCGGATTGGCTGCTGCACCAACTGAACCAATGGCTGAATTTGTCCAGTAGGCGACACTAGTAGCTTTGTTATTATAGGGAATTACAAGGTCTGATAATAACATTGGAAAATATAATATAATACAATATTATATAATACAATACAATACAATATTGCTCTTGTCTTTCCTTATCAGCACTGATTTTGCTGATAGCTGCTTTATTGAGGAAAGTTTCACTTACAATGATTGTGATGTGTGGTTGCATTCACTGTAAGTCTGCTGAATGGCCAAAATGTAAAAGTCAATTTGGTTAGAACAGAAATGGGCTTTTCCCCCAACACCCCCAGACAGACAAACACTGGATATAACCGCTAGGAGTAGAGAGTGGATATCATAGAATTACTTAGGCAAGGACAGTAATGTCCTACAGACAATCCCCCAGTGTTGTCTCATGCTTTTCCTTCTAAATGTGTCTTATGACCTGACAAAGTAGTAGTGCAAACGGACTCTAGTGGTAAACATAAACATCTTTATTCAAAGATGTATGTGTGTGTGTTTATCGTAATCAAATTAACATAACTTAAAGCTATTTACTACGAGGCAGGAAAGAATGGTAGCCTACTCATTCATTCAATATAAAAAACTACTAATTCAATAAAAGACAACCAAAGCTTTTTATTCTCCATTTAATCTCATGTATTAAGGGATGAACAACATTATCACTTATAATGGAAGTCTTCATACAGATACACAGTAGGCTATGGCAGTACATTGCAAAGTCAATACATTAATAAGGACCATGTAAGGTTTTTTCCTTCTCACCTTTAGAGAATGAAAACAATACACATCAGTATCTGAACAGAGATAAAAGAGGAGGAACCATGTCCAGTGTTCTTTTCAAATACTTATTTGGGATGACAATAATCAATTATCATGGACAGCAGTGTGTATCATGAATTACTCTACACAGAAGGAAGAAAGAAAACCTGTATACTCTTTTGATATACTCTATACTGCATGGCTCATACTGTATTTCTACCAAAAAACTATGTGATTGTGATTTACAACAATTGTGTATTTGTATACACACAACATCCAGCTTACCATGAAAAAGCCAAAGAGAAATTGCCACCCTATTATTATCAGGAACTTTTGAACTATGAAAAAATAGCATGGTAGTCCATATGTCAATGCATCCCCCATTCAGAATACATTCATTTAGTAGTCTATGGCAAATCAAAAATCACTTATTTTAATTTAAAACATAATTTACACTACTACCTTCTGGGCAAAAATGTGTTGAATCAACGTTGTTTCCACGTCATTTCAACAAAACAATTATATGTGATGAAGTTGAATCAACATGGAAAACGGATTGGATTTTGCAAAAAGTCATCAACATAAGGGACTTTCGTCTTTCTTTCATCCAACTTTTAACCTAAAGCCAATGACATGGTGCAATGTTTTGTTGATTTCACATTGAATTCACGTTAGTTGACAACTCAACCAAATGTCAATCAATAATAGACGCTGAACTGATGTCTGTGCCCAGTGGGTATATTCATTCTTCCATAAACTCTCACTGTTTACACGCAATACACACTTGCCGAGGGTGTGCAAAGGGGAGGGGGGGGGGGGGGGGGGTTGGGGGTTGACTTCTTTATGATGAAATTAATTAGAAAACAATATTTTAATTTTTTTACATTGGTGCGTCCTCCGAAACACAAACCAACCGAGTCGCACTGCTTCTTCACACAATGACCGCTTAACCCGGAAGCCAGCTGCACCAATGTGTCGGAGGAAACGCCGTACACCTGGCGACCGTGTCAGCGTGCACTGCGCCCGGCCCGCCACAGGAGTCGCTAGTGCGCGATGGGACAAGAACATCCCTTCCGGCCAAACCATCCCCTAACCTGGACGACGCTGGGCCAATTGTGCGCCGCCCCCATTGGTCTCCCGGTCACGGCCGGCTGCGACAGAGCCTGGACTCGAACCAGGATCTCTAGTGGCACAAGAAAATAATATATCTAAGAATTTGTTTAAAGATGTTTACATAAATAGTTTCCCCATTTAAAAATGGTCACATAATAATAAAAAAATAAACATGGCAAATAATTGAGCTCTTCTTTTCCCAACTAGTGTCTCTCTCCCATCATTCCCACAACTACTACAGACATAATATATATATATATATATATATATATATATATATATATATATATATATACATATACATATACATATACATATATATATACATATATATATATATATATATATATATATATATATATATATATATATATATATATATATATAAATTATCTGAGTGCTGAAGAGTCAGGAAGGTAGCCTGGATATTAGTCTGTTTCAGCACTGCTCATATTTATTGTCACTTCACTGGTCTGTTTTACAATGCAGTTGCAATGGAACTAGCAACAATTGAGCTGGTTTGCTGAAGCAGAGTAGAATCCAGGCTGTCTGGACATCTTGTCGGACTGTGATTTTGGAGTGTTGGTGGGGCAGAGGTCCCAAGCTTTATGATTCTGGATGATCCCTGGTTATTAGACGATTGGTGCTGATCTGTCATTGGTCACTGTAGGTCTCAGTTTGACAGTGGCAAAGGGATTCCCACCTCTGGAAAATATTTAAATAACACATTGTAATAGGTGAGATCCTTATGATTTTGTATTCACATTTCCCATCAAAATCAATCCATGTGATAGGTTATAAAGTTATAACAGAGTTATTATATGACTTACCCCAGAAAGGGAGACTTTCCAACCCCATTGGGTAGAGAGATCTGTTTACAAAAAGAAAGAAAGAGAAACACTTAGAAGTCAAGATACATGCTGTGCATATTTACTACATGCTGCAGTTGTAAGTGTGAAAAGGTTGTTTCTAGTTGTCTCTAGTCTGACAGGTTGGATAAGGATGTCAACTGTCAACACACACAGTCGTTGTGTCACTCCTCAGTGAAGAACTCTGGGACGGAGTGTACCATGACCTCATGCTGGGTGTCAGGAATCTAGAATGTCTAGAAAGGCCAGCACACAGCACACCTCTAGAAACACCTCTTCTCTGAGTAGATGGAAATCTTATTGTAACCCTAAACAAGTGAGCGTGATTAAGATAGTTTTAAATGAGATGGTGAACTGATTACATAGCTATGTTTTAGGACGTATGAACGTGTATCTATCTAAGAAAAATTATCTGCACTCTCAGAAATTAAAGATTTCTGATGACGGATGAGAGTAAACAAACCCTCTCCAAGTTGTGTTCATTTTGTATCCTTATCTGATGTTTTGAAGACCCAATCTAACAGTGGATTAGGCTATAGGCTGTTAAGTTTTTGTACTGCACAGGAACACTGCTGTAGTAGGCCTATTCGAAATACTTCAGGACATAACCAAATCAAATCAAATCAAATTTTATTGGCCACATGCGCCGAATACAACAGGTGCAGACATTACAGTGAAATGCTTACTTACAGCCCTTAACCAACAGTGCATTTATTTTAAATAAAAAAGTAAAATAAAACAACAACAAAAAAGTGTTGAGAAAAAAAGAGCAGAAGTAAAATAAAATAACAGTAGGGAAGCTATATATTTACATTTACATTTTAGTCATTTAGCAGACACTCTTATCCAGAGCGCCTTACAGTTAGTGAGTGCATACATTATTATTATTATTATTATATATATTTTTTTCATACTGGCCCCCCATGGGAATCGAACCCACAACCCTGGCGTTGCAAACGCCATGCTATACCAACTAAGCTACATCACTGCCGGCCATTCCCTCCCCTACCCTGGACGACGCTGGGCCAGTTGTGCGCCGCCCCATGGGTCTATATATACAGGGGGGTACCGGTGCAGAGTCAATGTGCAGGGGCACCGGCTAGTTGAGGTAGTTGAAGTAATATGTACATGTGGGTATAGTTAAAGTGACTATGCATAAATAATTAACAGAGTAGCAGCAGCGTAAAAAGATGGGGTGGGGGGGCAGTGCAAATAGTCCGGGTAGCCATGATTAGCTGTTCAGGAGTCTTATGGCTTGGGGGTAGAAGCTGTTGAGAAGTCTTTTGGACCTAGACTTGGCACTCCGGTATCGCTTGCCGTGCGGTAGCAGAGAGAACAGTCTATGACTAGGGTGGCTGGAGTCTTTGACAATTTTGAGGGCCTTCCTCTGACACCGCCTGGTATAGAGGTCCTGGATGGCAGGAGGCTTGGCCCAAGTGATGTACTGGGCCGTACGCACTACCCTCTGTAGTGCCTTGCGGTCGGAGGCCAAGCAGTTGCCATACCAGGCGGTGATGCAACCAGTCAGGATGCTCTCGATGGTGCAGCTGTAGAATTTTTTGAGGATCTGAGGACCCATGCCAAATCTTTTCAGTCTCCTGAGGGGGAATAGGCTTTGTCGTGCCCTCTTCACGACTGTCTTGGTCTGTTTGGACCATGATAGTTCGTTGGTGATGTGGACACCAAGGAACTTGAAGCTCTCAACCTGTTCCACTACAGCCCTGTCGATGAGAATGGGGGCGTGCTCAGTCCTCTTTTTTTTCCCTGTAGTCCACAATCATCTCCTTTGTCTTGGTCACGTTGAGGGAGAGGTTGTTATCCTGGCACCACACGGCTAGGTCTCTGACCTCCTCCCTATAGGCTGTCTCATCGTTGTCAGTGATCAGGCCTACCACTGTTGTGTCGTCAGCAAACTTAATGATGGTGTTGGAGTCGTGCCTGGCCATGCAGTCATGGGTGAACAGGGAGTACAGGAGGGGACTGAGCATGCACCCCTGAGGGGCCCCCGTGTTGAGGATCAGTGTGGCAAATGTGTTGTTACCTACCCTTACCACCTGGGGGCGGCCCGACAGGAAGTCCAGGATCCAGTTGCAGAGGGAGGTGTTTAGTCCCAGGATCCTTAGCTTAATGATGAGCTTTGAGGGCACTATGGTGTTGAATGCTGAGCTGTAGTCAATGAATAGCATTCTCACGTAGGTGTTCCTCTTGTCCAGGTGGGAAAGGGCAGTGTGGAGTGCAATAGAGATTGCATCATCTGTGGATCTGTTGGGGCGGTATGCAAATTGGAGTGGGTCTAGGGTTTCTGGGATAATGGTGTTGATGTGAGCCATGACCAGCCTTTCAAAGCACTTCATGGCTACAGACGTCAGTGCTACGGGTCGGTATTCATTTAGGCAGGTTATCTTAGAGTCCTTGGGCACGGGGACTATGGTGGTCTGCTTGAAACATGTTGGTATTACAGACTCAGTCAGGGACATGTTGAAAATGTCAGTGAAGACACTTGCCAGTTGGTCAGCACATGCTCGGAGTACACGTCCTGGTAAACCACTACCCTAACATTCCACTAGAGGGCAGTCTATGTCCAGAAGTGAAGGCACAGGGGCAGCTATGCGAGAGGCCCAATGGAGTTGCTTACATCAGAGACCATTAAACAATCTGGCAGCGACAATAACAAACACAAAGAGCAAAGTCACCCCTCCACAACCACACGATCAAATGGAAGGATAGGACTTCTAGGAAGGAAAGGGTGAGAGGTTGGGAATGGGGAGAGCAGAGGGGGGAGGCAAGGGGGAGAGAAAGGGGAGGGAGGGATGCAAACTCTATTAGGATAGCATCCCTAACAACAGTTTATTTCTCTTAAAGCCCTGAGGCAGCAGTTCCAGCACACAAAGGCAATGAGAGGAGAGAGAGAGAGAGAGAGAGAGAGAGAGAGAGAGAGAGAGAGAGAGAGAGAGAGAGAGAGAGAGAGAGAGAGAGAGAGAGAGAGAGAGAGAGAGAGAGAGAGAGAGAGAGAGAGAGAGAAGAGAGAGAGAGAGAGAGAGAGAGAGAGAGAGAGAGAGAGAAAGAGAGAGAGAGAAAGAGATTACTCGATTACTTCATTCTCAATCCAGCGCAGGTCCTAATTGAATCTGTGTGGATGAGCAAGATTTCTGTGTAGGCCTATTCCCCCCTTGTCCTCTGTCCTTCCTTCCCTCCCTCCCTTTATGTCTCCCTCCCTCCATTCCCTCCATTCCTGCGCAGAGACAAAACCAGGCAGGGAGCATTTTTTACATTCCAGGTAGAACCCTTTCCACAGAGAGTTCTACATGGAGCCCAAAAGAGTTCTTCATGGAACCAAAAAGGTTTCTACCTGGAATCAAAAAGGGTTCTCCTATTTGGACAGCTGAATAACCCTTTTTTTCTAAGAGTGTGGCAAACAGAGGTTACATTAACACACAACCTCAAAACCAATTATCAGTGGCAGCATCAAGACATTTAGGCCCTGTTTCTATCATAACCTAGCTTAATGTGTGCCTGGTCTTGGGAGTACATCCCTAACTAGCCCAGGTGAAAATACACAAATAAAATGTCATCCACGTTAGGTCATCCAACAATAAACCTGAGGAGAGTGTGGAGGTTTAATGTTCACCCTAAGGGGACCGTTTCCCAGCATGTGGGCTGATAGACAACATCAAAATCAAAGTTGGTCAGACGTTAAAGTGGGCTGCTGCCTGTACTGTTAGGTGTGGAAGGGATGACTGGGTTCTGACCGTGTTTTTGGGTGAGGGTGTGGAGGAGCTGACAAGTCTGACAGGGCTACTCTCCTTCCCGTCGCTGTAGTCTGGCGGCGGCAGCAGAACAGGCTCTTCCTCTTCCTGTTCTGGAAGACTGGCCACACTCAGACAATGCACTGGTGTCCCCAAACTGTAGACATAGACAGATACACACAAACATTAGAACTTTACCAGGTCCAAAATAACCTTGTTTGTATTCTAGACACTTCTTGAAAGCCCCCTAAAGATTTGAGAGGATTGGGTAGTTGTAAGCAATATCATAAGATCATCACATGGTTATATGTGTTTTGGTCTTACCTGTTTGAGATCAGTGGTTCATTATAAGGTCGGCAGTAAGATGAGGGAAACCAGCCCCGCCTGAAACAAACACAGACACACCAAAAATTAGCCAAATAAAACAACAATGAATAACATCATAAAGAAATGAGTTCTTCTCACTTGAAGTAAGCCAAATGTCCCTGAAGGCATGTGAAACACACATTTCGATGATCAAATATATGACAGATTTGTTTCGAAGACACTGTTTCAAGTTGAGAAATACAGAAATAGTTCCCATGCCAAATCCCAAAGTGTGTAAAAGGAAATAAAATTGTATAATATCAAATATTATACTAATATTAAAGGGGTTGCTTACGGGCTGTTTACTTGGATGTACTAAGTCTCTGTTCTTGACAAGGTGTCACTGATAACTTTAAAAGCTATTTAATTCCCAAAGCAATAATAATGGCTGCCAATGTCAAAGGGTCAGGAAATGGACTTTGCTAATTTGTTTCAGAGGGAAAATGTCAAGGCAGGTAGACTAACGTCTCTGCTTAAAGCACTCTCTCTCTCCCTCTCTCCCTCTCTCTGATCTTTCACCTACATATGAGCACTAATGACTTTAATGAACAGATAGAGAGAGGGAGACACAAGACCAGCCATCAAAGCATGGACACATAATTACCAAGGTGGCTTTGAGCCATCGGTCTCTGTGGCCTCACCCCAATTACCCACACCTGGTCTTCTGAAATACTATTAAATTACCCACAACTCATCTTCTGAAATACTATTCTGAATGGCACAGATACAACTGGTTTAACAATAACATTACTTTCAGACCTGACATTTAACGGCTTAAAAAAACATAATGGGGGCCAATGTTCCACTGCGCTACATTCAACTGGTACCTGGCTCTATCTCCACTGTATTCAGAGATTACAAAATGTAAACAAAGATTTCAAGAAGATGGGTTGGCATGGATGAAATGTTATAATTTTCTCTCCACTCTGTCTGTCTGTGTATGAGTAGAAATCACAATCGCCAATTTTTCAAAGGTGTGGTTTGACCAAACTACCTTTCAACAACCCCTCGCCACCCTTTGACACAATATCCTGTTGTGTTTCCACATCATCATTCATCGTTAAATGTCCCAAAAAACTAAAACAAACAAGTGAGGCCACCTTTATAGGAGAGGAAAGCCATGTGTCTCTATGAGTTTAGTCACTCTCTATGGCCTGTAGTTGTGGTAGCTAGCAGCCTTAGGGTGATAGTTTGTTTTAACCTCTACCACTGTGACAGAGTCAGTTCTAACTAACCTCACCTGCTCTGTGGATCTTTGCAAACTGTATTAGCACAGAAGAAATTAACAAACAGAGACCAGGAACAAATGAAGACTTTTATTCCAAAATGCTATATATCAATTTTCAGCTAAATAATGGATATATAGCATTTTTCAAAAAAACATACACATCTAAAATATATGAATAAAACATCTGAGAACAGTAATACCCATAAGCAATCATTTCTGATGAAAAAACACAAATGTGAAACATTTGTGCATATAGCGTTTTGGAAATAAGCTCTTCAAGTATTGCCACCTCAAAAATGAGAACAATCCCCAAGTTGATACACTTGCGTATTTGCAGAGATACAGTACATTTCCTTATCATTAAAAAGGTGAATACCAACACCTGTACCACAGAAGGAAATTGCTTGAATGTTGGTGCCAACATTGCATAACTTCTCTGAGAGACCTTAGATCTGCATCTGCATCTTCTCCAGGTTAATAAGGCCTGAATTATTGTGTAATAAAGGTGTAATAAATATTTGTAAAAGTGTAATAAAGCTTTGCACTCTTAATACCAGTGACTTCAATAAGCCTTTATAAATGTGTAATAAAGCTTCATAAAGCCACATAAACCCTTGATAACCAGTAAATAGTGATTTACTGCCAGATCTTCTCCAGGTTAATAAGCCTTTATAAAGGTGTAATAAAGCTTCAAAAAGCTTCACAAAGCGCTTATTAACCAGTGAATAGAGACTTACTGCCGGGTATTCTCCAGCTCTCCATACAGCCATCCATCCTTCTCCTCCTGGATGAGCAGCATGATGATGTCACCGTCGTCAAAGGAAAGGAGCGTGTTGTTGTTGCCGGCCGTGTGAGGGAAGATGGTCCTGACCCGTTGCTTCCTGCCCACGTTCAGTCCTGAACCTATCGATACAGACCTGGACAGAGACATACTGCCACTGTCCTCCATACTGCCCTGGTCTGGAAGGTCAAAGTTAATGTTCAATGTTTTTTACTATCAAATTGCAGAAAGACAGAAAGGACTCTCTGAAATACTTGATATTTACAATAGCAGAGTTCAAATTGATACATGGATAAGTATATCAGGGAGAAGACATGGCTTATAGCTAGTGATTTATAACCCTGGTCTAAATGGCTATGCAGAGAATAAAAATTGTATAATTAAAGAGGAGAATTGGTTTTGCAGCAGAATCTTCTGTATAATTTAAACATTCAATAAAAGAAGACATGGAGAACAAACGCTAGATGAAGTAAGAACAGATACATTGGCAGGATTAAAGGAAACATATAGCACAATTTGAAGGGAATTCAGTTGCCGTCCTGAACCTTCTTTGGATTTCTGAATATAATCTGTCGAGCACATGTACTCAATAAGGCCCCGGTGCACAATATCAAATATTCCCAAACAAGACATTACATGTAGATTATGACAGCACCTATAGTTTTATCTCTGTTATCTCTTTTATCCATTTGTATAGGTCAGATTACGAAAGGCAGCATACTTACACGGGGAAGGAGGTGTGGGACTCTGTAAAGCTAAACATAATCTCTGTATAAAATACCAGCTACCAAAACCTGCTATATTTTCACATTTTTGATACAGAGTACATGTACAACTACACACACAATGAAACACATACCCAAACTTCAATCCCAAGACTGAAGCCTGAGGTGTGAGGCTGCAGTAGTACCTGAGTTGTGGTCTGATGTGGAGGTGTATGTTGATGTGATGGAGTTGTGGGGGACGTCCTGGTTGAACATATTAGCCAGTGGACTGATCTGGGCCTTCAGCTGGGGGACTGGTGGGGGAACCATCGAGTCCCCATTGTTCTGATAGAGAAAACATAAAACAGGTTATGTTATGTACATGAAAGTCACAATACATGCAATGCATCTAGAAGAGCAAATACAATTTATGAGAAGAGGCAACTCTTGAAAACAAGCAAAGAGGTAAATTATTATAGCTTGTCCTTCTCTTGTAATAGCATTGTAACAACAATGTAATAACAGCCATGACATCACACTCTTGACGTCCCACTCACCCTGTTGTAGCGCTCGACGAGAGGCGAGGCTTCTGGGGTCCCAGACACGGGGGTGCGGAGCCCCTTTATCATGGTCATCACTGTGTCAGGGACCTTGGTGGCATCGCTGCATTTATCCTGCCAGCTGGGCAGCTTTACCACCAGCAACTCTTTGGCCTACAGCGCAGATATATTTGACCGGTTATAAAGGTGTAATAAAGCTTTATAAAGCATTCATAACCAGTGACTTATATGGCCAAGTTAGGAGGAGCAGTGGTTACAGTGCTGAACAACACATAGCATCTCAGCCATATCAACCCCAAGGTGGGCATAATGCCTCAAGGGAGGACACACATCTATTTGGTGGATTTGAATCCTGTTGTTGTTGATGTGACTAAGTAAGAAGTAACCCCGCTGTGTATGATGATGTCATATCACTGAGTCTACCTTTAAGACAAGGTTAACTAAGGCCTAACAAAGTTGATTTACTGTTTAGCGGATGCCCCGCTTCACATATATATATTTTTTATGGTTTTCAACGATTCATTTGAATCATGTGAATCGATTATTTTAAATGATTATTTTTGCCGAAACAAACAATTCACTTTGCCATTGTAGTAGGTGGGATTCTGTTCAATCATGTGAATCAAAATAATAATTTGTGAATTATGAACAGTAAATTGTAGCCTTCCAATTGGGTAATGTGACTGCAAAACTTGTTTTGTAGATACTTTAAATTGATTTGACATTGCAACTCAATAAATGCTAGTCAGCCTGTAAAGTAAACACTTCTAAGGTAAGATAAATATGACAAAACTAGAAAAGGTACATTTTCTGAAGAAAATGTGTGCTTGCAACAGCTTCTAAAAATATTTGTATGGTAGTGGGAGATGTGTTAAAATGTAGAATTTATGCTGAATAGAAGCTGAAGCAGTTAGTTGTAGTAAGAATATGTCTGATTACTTTAGTAGACTGTTACAGTGCATTCGGAAAGTATTCAGATTCCTAATTTTGTTACGTTACAGCCATATTCTAAAATTGATTAATTCGTTTCCCCCCCTCATCAATCTACACACAATACCCCATAATGACAAAGCAAAAACAGGTTATTATAATTTTTTGCAACAAATATATATACAAAATATATATATATATCACATTACGTAAGTATTCAGACCCTTTACTCAGTACTTTGTTGAAGAACCTTTGGCTGCGATTACAGCCTCGAGTCTTCTTGGGTATGACGCTACAAGCTTGGCACGCCTGTATTAGGGGAGTTTCTCCCATTCTTCTCTGCAGATCCTCTCAAGCTCTGTCAGGTTGGATGGGGAGCGTCGCTGCACAGCTATTTTCAGGTCTCTCCAGAGATGTTCGATCGGGTTCAAGTCTGGGCTCTAGCTAGGCCACTCAAGGACATTCAGAGACTTGTCCCGAAGTCACTCCTGCGTTGTCTTGGCTGTGTGCTTAGGGTCATTGTCCTGTTGGAAGGTGAACCTTCGCCCCTGTCTGAGGTCCTGTTGGAAGGTGAACCTTCGCCCCAGTCTGAGGTCCTGTTGGAAGGTGAACCTTCACCCCAGTCTGAGGTCCTGTTGGAAGGTGAACCTTCGCCCCAGTCTGAGGTCCTGTTGGAAGGTGAACCTTCGCCCCAGTCTGAGGTCCTGTTGGAAGGTGAACCTTCGCCCCAGTCTGAGGTCCTGTTGGAAGGTGAACCTTCGCCCCAGTCTGAGGTCCTGTTGGAAGGTGAACCTTCGCCCCAGTCTGAGGTCCTGTTGGAAGGTGAACCTTCGCCCCAGTCTGAGGTCCTGTTGGAAGGTGAACCTTCGTCCCTGTCTGAGGTCCTGTTGGAAGGTGAACCTTTGTCCCTGTCTGAGGTCCTGTTGGAAGGTGAACCTTCGCACCAGTCTGAGGTCCTGTTGGAAGGTGAACCTTCGCACCAGTCTGAGGTCCTGTTGGAAGGTGAACCTTCGCCCCAGTCTGAGGTCCTGAGCGCTCTGGAGCGCTTATTACATTTTTTCATATAAAAACTTTAATCCCTTGCCTTATTTTTCAAAAAATGAAATCCGTTAAACAGTAAATCTACTTTTTTATGGACTAAAGGACTAAAGGTTAACTAAAGGACTAAATCCCTTATGTGCAGTACCTTCTCGTGGAAGGCGGTGACATGGTAGGAGAACATGCAGTGTTTGTCGACCAAAAAGCAGAATCGTCTCTTCTCCTCCAAGAGGGCCTCTCTGCAGCCGTCAGCGATAAACTTCTGCATGTCACTCTGCCGCGACGAGATGGTCTTCATATACTGAGGAGAAGAGGAGGGGAAGAGGAGGGGACACAGGTCAGTAAGGGTTGGTTGAACTGATGGGGGTCATTAAGTATCTAAAGGGGACAGGTCAGTACTGGGTTACTGACAGGTGTACTGTTAACTCTGCGTGTACAGTATATGTATGAGATTGTCTCCAGATACTGACGAGAGGACACAGATGGAGACTGTTCAGTAAGGTTGTAATTGCATGCTCAGAAAAAAGCGTCTTGCTTAACTGTTCAGGAATAACTAATGAGCCTTCTAATCAAAGTCCCTGCTCTGTCTGGCTTCATCTCACCCCCTGTTACTCCATCATCCCTATCCTGTAGAAAATAAATCACCCCGTTGAAAGAACCTGTGGCTGCGTCCCAAATGGCACCCTATTCCCAATGTAGTGTATGGTCAAAAGTAGTACACTTTATAGGGAATAGGGTGCCATGTGGGAAGGAGTGCATGTGGGAAGCAGGACACACTCCTTCCCAGGGAGTGACTGAGAAATGAAACACCTTCATAAAGCAGACCACGGAACCTGACAACACACACAGACAAAGCTCAGCTCTTCTTTGAAACAACTCTCTCCCCCTGTTTCCTCCCCTATCTCTCCACTCCCTTTTTCTGGTTGTCATGACGACAGTGAAAGCCGGTTAGTCTCTAGGGTTGTGGTGGTGGTGTCACAGACCCTCCTTTAATGTTTAGCCCAGTCTCTCTCTTTTGCTCTCTCCCCCCCTCCCCTGTCTCTCTCTCTCCCCCCTCCCTCTTCTACCTACGATAGGGCCACACCGCCTAAACTATAGAGCTTCATTTCTACTGCAAACAATCGCTGGAAGACTGAGAAAGACAGAGGGGAGGAAGAGAGGAAGAGAGAGATAGAGGATAGAACGAGAGAGAGACAGACATACGGAGAGAGAACCATTTCACTGTACTTGTGCATGTAACAAAAACGACTTGAAACTTGAAACTTGAATTGAGCTCAAGTGTTGCAGCAAACCTGTACGGGTTTGAAAACGATGGATTTGTGGGCAAATTTCATTAAAGACATTCATGCATGACTTGGAGAGAGCAGGATGTTACCTTTTCCATCCATTTCTATATTCTGACAACTGAACCACAGAAGATCACAGTAGAGGCAAAACTAAATATACTCTACAGTGTGATACATGACACTAGGAAGTGTGCATGGGTTGGCCCTTAACTAGTCTCATCAACAGGTGTCATATTCATAGGATAATTACAAACCATTCACACTTCATAAGAGGAGGGGCTGGAGTTTCTCTCCACATAGTAAGACACAATACAATACTGTCTATTAGTTTCTCTGAGATAAAACTAGATTACAGCCCTCTTTTCAGAGAGTGCCATTCATAGGCAAAGTGAATCTACATACTGAAACAAAGATGGTTAATAACAAGATAACCACCCAGAAGCCATTAAAGAGATCATGATCGCTGAATAGAGAGCGAGACAAGATTCTACTCTTCAAAACCTTCAGTTAGCTAGCGCTTCTCGGATTTCAGTCAGAACAATAATAAATAATGTGTTGCAGCTCAATATATTGGGCCCCTTCCTAAAAATAAACCCACCTCATAAACTGACACTCATCAAAGTCGGGCCGGTGAAACCAGTCAATAAAATAGGAGTGGAAGAGGAGTTATTGCACAGGCAGCCTTGTATAAAGCAGAGCCAGAGTGGGTTTCATCAACAGACAGCATCTCCTTGGCCCCATCTATCACCTTGTCCTATTGATTTACTAAATAAGTCTATGTTTAATGTATACTGTGTTAGGAAAACTATTACTGTATATCCTCTGATTCCTGTAAGTGGCTAAATATGCTACCAGGCACCCCTTCAAGTCTACTCTATTTGAGTGGACATTATTGACTATAAATGCTTCACCCATTCCAAGTCCCACTACACCCTACAAAGCCTTTCAGTGAGTGTATACTACCAACCAACTCCAGACCACAAACTCCTAAGTGCACACTTCATACTCCAGAGGGGGCTGTACCCTTGGCCAGTCAAGGGTACAGAGTAAAATCCTCACGCAAGAGTGTACAGTGCTAACCACTCCTCACATTCACTACAACACACTCTCCATTCTAATGTGATGACAGGCATTTGGTCCCTTTCGATGAGCCTTCAGTGTTGCTTTATAGGTGAAGGGCAGTGGTGAAAAAAGTACCCAATTGTCATACTTGAGTAAAAGTGAAGATACCTTAATAGTAAATGACTTAATTGCTAAAATATACTTAAGTATCAAAGTAAAAGTAAAAGTATAAATAATTTCACATTCCTTATATTAAGCAAACTAGACGGCACAATTTTCTTGTTTTTAAAATGTACGGATAGCCAGGAGCACACTACAACACTTAGGCAATCATTTAAAAATGAAGCATTTGTGTTTAGTGAGTCCACAAGATCAGAGGCAGTAGGGATGACCAGGGATGTTCTCTTGATAAGTGTGTGAATTGGACTATTTTCCTGTCCTGCTAAGTATTCAAAATGTAATGAGTACTTTTGGGTGTCAGGGAAAATGCATGGTGTTTAAAGTAAATTATTTTCTTTAGGAATGTAGTGGAGTGAAAGTAAAAGTTGTCAAAAATATAAATTGTAAAGTACAGATACCCAAAAAAACAACTTAAGTAGTACTGTAAAGCATTTTTACTTAAGTACCTTGCACCACTGGTGAAGGGGCACGGCAGTGACAGCACTCCACTTTACATTAACACAAAGAATCTGCCCGCAGCTATAGGTGTGGTGGTATTGTGTATATTTAGTGTTCATTTCCTTTCCACCCGCTCACTTTTATGTAAATTTTTTCCTCCTTGAGGTGTGTGGCAAGATCAAGGAGCCAGCTGGGCCAATGATATTTCCTATTCTCAAGACATATTTCATAAATGTTTTTCTTTGATATTCTCTATGGATTATTGCTCCATGCGTGCAAATCATTTAAGCGATAATGCCCTCGAAGCCAGTGTTTGGAGGATATATTGGCATAGGTCTTGTTAGGTCCGAACAGAAGTCGAGGGCCGGCAAACCGTGCCAATATATCCACCAAACACCGGCTTCGAGGGCATCACTTTTATAAAACGGGTAACCAACATATTCAAATACTTATTTACATATTTTCATAAAAAACTTTATTTTGATGAATTTATTCATACTATATCATCCTTCCACAATATATAGTCCGGACACAAATCTAGGGTTGCTACTCAAGCCGGCTGGTTGTTCGTTCTATTGGTTTGGTTGCCAAGAGGTTGCCCAGTCGTTCAGTCTTTTTGTTCTGTATCTATGGAGGCGACCCAGTTGTTTCTTCTAAATGTTCCATTACCATACTGTCTGGCAACGTTCTTATCCCTTGCTTGCTAGCTAGCCAACTACGGCTAACTTACAGTTACGATGAACAGAACAGCAAAGTACTGTAGCTGCATTTGCGTTTGTTTAAGCATCCATAACAATGAGCTAATGATGCACGATTTCACCTGGCGTAGAAAATGTGCTCTCTCGTCAGGAATCAATCAATCAAATGTATTTATAAAGCCCTTTTTACATCAGCACATGTCACCAAGTGCTATACAGAAACCCAGCCTAAAACCCCAAACAGCAAGCAATGCAGATGTAGAAGCACGGTGGCTAGGAAAAACTCCCTAGAAAGGCAGAAACCTAGGCAGAAACCTAGAGAGGATGGGTGGCCAGTCCCCTTCTGGCTGTGCCGGGTGTAGATTATAACAGTACATGGCCATTAAGGCCAGATTTTTCTCCAAGATCTTCAAACGTTCAAAGATGACCAGCAGGGTCAAATAATAATCACAGTGGTTGTAGAGGCTGCAACAGGTCAGTACATCAGGAGTAAATATCACTTGGCTTTTCATAGCCGGGCATTTAGAGGTTGAAATAGCAGATGTGGTAGAGAGAGAGAGTTGAAAACAGCAGGTCTGGGACAAGGTAGCACGTCCGGTGAACAGGTCAGGGTCAGGACACTTGTTCAGAGGAGCTAGCCAACAACACAGCTAACACAATCACTTCAAACTGAAGCTGGAAAGACAGCAAACTAGCTGCACTTCGTTTCGTTTTACCTGTTTCTATTGATAGTTCTTTGAATATATCCATAAAAATGATACCAGCTGATTCATGATTTCGAATGGCTGAGAAACGCTGCCTGCCTGTCTGTCTCATCCCAACTCCCGACACGTAAAGCTGGAGATCAAATTTTAATATTGAAACAATGTTGCAAATGTCGAAGAGACAGACAGCAAGGTTTATACAAATCTCTGCTGTTGAAAACTAAATGTTAGTCTAAAGGAAATGTGAGATAATGTCTAGATGCTTTTTATAGTGGAGATCAAGTATAAATTGCCTGGTTGGGCTGATGTGGATTACGCAGTCAGATGGAACATAGTAAATAGGCATTTTAACGTCATAGATTTAGCCGGTGGTAACTTGTGGAACAGACACCGGCTGGAATGCGGTTTTAACCAATCACCATTCAGGATTAGACCCACCCGTTGTATAAGGAAGTCCATAGAAGCGTTCAGCTTTGTTTATGTAAACAAAACAAGACAACCATGGCAACCAAGAGCAATAATGTTCTGTCTGGTTTTTATATTGATACTGGACACATAAACCAACAAGTGGTTCTGGATGAGGGTAAAGTCAGGTGACTGTCTGTTAAAGTGCCCTTTCTAGCCATCTGAGAAACTCACAGGACCTCAAAGGAACTCAAGCACATGCTCACATCAACAGAAAAAACTAACTGGACACCGATCCACTTCTCGCTTGAAAATGGAGAACATTCATTAAGGGACTTTTCTGACCAGCATACCCATGGTGCATTGAGTGAACAGCTGAGTCTGATCACTGCGACCCCAGTGAGATAAGATGTTTTTAGTCTCAACTCGTTCCTCTTGTTTAATTAAGATCTGGTTCTAGTCTCACCTCGTTCTCCTTGATTAATTAAGATCTGGTACTAGTCTCACCTCGTTCTCCTTGATTAATTATGATCTGGTTCTAGTCTCACCTCGTTCTCTTTGATTAATTAAGATCTGGTTCTTGTCTCACCTCGTTCTCCATTAATTAAGATCTGGTTCTAGTCTCACCTCATTCTCCTTGATCTCGTACTTGGTGACATGTTTCCCCTGGCTCTTCTTCTGCAGCTTCTTCAGGTCCATCTGAGAGCGCTCCAGAGAGTCCTGCTTCAGCTTGTGCTCCGTCTGGTACCGCTTGAATGTGGCCTGGATGAGAGATACACAGGTTAAGATAAGTTTGATGTAGAGGTGGAGAGGACTTTTACTGAATGCAAGGATAGGGGATATTGAGGAGGAGAGAGGACACCATAATTAAGTGTGCACTCACATACCTGCATACGTAGACATGCAGACACGTACACACACATGCATGCTCACACACATACTCCTTGCGATTAGATTGTCCCTTGCCAAAGTCCTATAGTGGTCAATGTACTTACAGTCATATATTTGACGTCCATCTCTGTTTTCCTCTCCAGCTCAGCAATGATTTCTTTGTGGAACCGCTTGAACTGAACAGAAAGAATCCAGTTCAAGTCGATATATAAATGTTTAACAATACCATAACCATGGCAAGATGGTGACATCAGAATAAGAGTTGTGTGGCTGAGCCAGAGGAATGTAGCTGTGATAATTGCTTTCTAACTGAGGGGAATTCCAACAACAGGTATGTTTTATCTACCTCTCCAAATAGTTCAACATTGACTACTTTCTCCTTCCATCCCACTCGCAGATATCTCAGAAATAACTAACCATGCTTCGTTGGCATCTTGCTTTACTTGGAGCCCAGTGAAAGACAAGTAGAAGCCTTGTAAGGCTAGTACAAAAGCTTTACTACAGTGCTGAATTTCAATAAAATATGTAATACATGTATACTGTAGTGAGAACACATTTTATTTGATCATATCTCTTTTTATTACTGACCAATACTAGAAATATTCATCATTCAAATCATCTTAAATTCAACAATAATCTAAGTTTCAAACTTTATTCACCACGTTCATAGGATACAACAGCTATAAAAGAGTACAGTTTAATTCTTACTTGAGAGCTCTTTCCCAACAATGCAGTGATAATAATAATACTATATATAACAATGAAAATATAGTAGAAAACACAAGAAGTACGATAAAAGTTAAAGAAACACGAGAATGAACCTGCTTCAGTCTAGAATATCTGTATTGTATAGTATTGTAACTTAGACGTAGTGAGTGATTGGAGATGATACTGTCTAAGAGCTAGTTGTGTCTTGCTCTTGTCACAGTTACAACACCAGTGACACCAACCAGAGTCACTTGACTTCTTACAGGTATGCCAAGCCTCTCACCCCCAGGCCTCAACAAGAGACCCAACAGACAGAACAGAGAGCACAAGATGAAAGGAATGGTCTCAATGACAAGAAAACGAACAGTTGTCTTGTGTCCGGGTGGGATTTCTCTCTAGGCTTTGTTGTGTTCTGGACATGTTTAGAGGATAAAGGAGGCCTGTTAATGACTAAGTCACTGTGAGAAAGAGAGAGTTGGCGTAGCGGACTATGGATGTGTGTGGACATGAACATCCAACGCAGGTCAAAGAGAATGGTAACTCTTGACTTCAGTCTGCCACTTAATTAGCAATTAGATGGTAAAATGGTCATTACATAACAAAAAAACGACCAAGAGAAGAAGTGACAGTAGGTCAGCAGGCTAACTTACGTTCTCCTCCAGCTCCAGGTGAACCTTCCTGTGCACCTCTGAGATCTCCATCAGAACCACACCTGTAGAGAAAAGATCATATATCATATTATACAGGTAGCTGCCAAAATAAAGGAAACACCAACATAAAGTGTCTTAATAGGGTGTTGGGCCACCAAGAGCCAGAACAGCTTCAATGTGCCTTGGCATAGATTCTATAAGTGTCTGAAACTCTATTGGAGGGATGCAGCACCATTCCTCCACAAGAAATTCCACAATTTGGTGTTTTGTTGATGGTGGTGGAAAACGTTGTCTCAGGTGCCGCTCCAGAATTTCCCATAAGTGTTCAATTGGGTTGAGATCTGGTAACTGAGACCAGCGTGGTTATCTAGAATGTAGTCTACCTGTGTTGCTGCTGTCCTGACACACATGTTCAACTCTAGTGGAAACTGATGGAGTTGGGTCAGAGGGTTGTTGATACTGCCGCTCCTCTCTATGTCTTTGTGCTTCTCTCTGCTGCACGTATGAGTCAACCAGACCAAATATTGATGATGATGTAGGTTAAATCAAGTGTTATCAAGTGTGAATCAAATGTTATGCTGTACTGTTGATATTTAAACTAGGTAGCTAGCTACACACACTCAAACTGTGACCGCATCCCTCAAGCAATGCATGTTTGGATACGGGGTGTGCAATCTCCATAAGGTCGGACTGGGAAAATAGCGCAACTGCCGTCTGTGAGCTCCATAAAGGGCAGATCAACAGGCACAACCAACGGACGGTGAGGGGGGTGGCAAACTTGACGACATCATGATGACTTCCGGGCAATGGGTTCCGAACAACAATGAAAAAAAATGTATAGAAAAAAATAATTTTTTGGGAAATTATACCACCACCTAAAAGGGCACTTTGGAAACAGGAAGGGCAAAGGGGTGTGTGCTCTGCACAGGTAGAGCCCTATCTGTGGATGTGCCTGACTGAGAAACACAGACATCCTTTAAACCCCCTATGCTCCTTTCAGACCCCTCTTTCAAAGTCACTGAGATCTCTTCTTCTAGCCATGGTAGCCAAAATAATGGGCAACTGGGCATTTTTATACATGACCTTAAGCATGATGGAATGTTTTAATTGCTTAATTAACTCAGGAAACACACCTGTGTGGAAACACCTCCTTTCAATATACTTTGTATTTCCTTTATTTTGTCAGTTACCTGTACATCATATATCTGCGGTATACGGGTAAGGGACATCTAGCCTGGGTTCCAGTCATAGAGAAACACATTAAATCACTATTTCTGTGATACTGCCAGACAATCTCTTCTTTAGTCAACATTCTGTAGCCTTATTTGGCAAGGCCAGGATATATCAGTGTTGAATCAATGCAGAAACTTGAAGACAACCAGGCTAAAATAAACTATTGCTTTTGAATATGTTGAGGACATCTATGACCCTTTTTCCTCAAGTTGCTTGGCGGCAACAACGTCCCTGATAGCCGGCATGGTACTGGCTGAGACCTCACGAGGAGGACAATGGGTTTTCACGCTGTTGCATCTGTTATTTCCCTATGCTTACAGAAGCAATGTTTACTTTAGTGGTCAAGAACAAAGCTTACCAAAACGTCATGTGTATTTTATGTTTCATCAAGTCATGAGGAGTTTTTACATACTGCATGGATGACTCATTTATTTTTGACACAGTAATGTTTGAACAGTGGTAACTCAGTAGTTGCTACTGATCAGATCCCCATTGTCTGACACAGAGACAGAAAAATCCCCATTGAGAGAACCCCCATTGAACGCCATAGAGGAACATGGCACAATAGCAGTCACTAATATAAACAGAAGTATACAATAACAGCGGGACAATTTACAGTGCAGACACAGACACAACGGGGTGACATCTAGAGGTTATCTAGCCTATACAGCAGTAATATTGTAGCATATTTTTTAGAACAAGTTGTGATTGTATTCTATAACCACCTGCCACTAGAACCACCTAGCTACCACTAGAATGTCTGCTTTTGACAAAATGTTATATTGTATAGTCTTAGTTTGTCATGTTTTATTAAAATGTTCTCTGCAAACACCTGCAACAAGTAACCCATCCACTCACTCCTATCACCTCAGTATTCATTCAGTTACAATCACAACTGGGCCTGTGGGACCATATAAACAGACTCAACCCAAACAAACTGAGCATACATACATTAGGCAAGCACACACACACACACACACACACACACACACACACACACACACACACACACACACACACACACACACACACACACACACACACACACACACACACACACACACACACACACACACACACACACACACACACACACACACACACACACACACACACACACACACACACACACACACACACACACACACACACACCTGGTGTGACCCCAGACCTGCTGAGACAGAGCTGTACCTCTCGGGCTGACTGCAGCTACAACAACATTGCCCTCTGAAGGTCAACAGAAAGTACTGGTAAATGCTGCCATTGTACGGCAGAAGGGAGAATGGGGAGGGAGGGGTGCTGGGCTCTTGGCAGGCTGTTTATACGGCACCAACAACAGCCTGCCAAGGGTGAGAGGGCTGGTGTGTAGTGAGAGGGCTTGTTTTCAAACAGGTTACAGAGTGAGAGGGCTGGTGTGTAGTGAGAGGGCTTGTTTTCAAACAGGTTACAGAGTGAGAGGGCTGGTGTGTAGTGAGAGGGCTTGTTTTCAAACAGGTTACAGAGTGAGAGGGCTGGTGTGTAGTGAGAGGGCTTGTTTTCAAACAGGTTACAGAGTGAGAGGGCTGGTGTGTAGTGAGAGGGCTTGTTTTCAAACAGGTTACAGAGTGAGAGGGCTGGTGTGTAGTGAGAGGGCTTGTTTTCAAACAGGTTACAGAGTGAGAGGGCTGGTGTGTAGTGAGAGGGCTTGTTTTCAAACAGGTTACAGAGTGAGAGGGCTGGTGTGTAGTGAGAGGGCTTGTTTTCAAACAGGTTACAGAGTGAGAGGGCTGGTGTGTAGTGAGAGGGCTTGTTTTCAAACAGGTTACAGAGTGAGAGGGCTGGTGTGTAGTGAGAGGGCTTGTTTTCAAACAGGTTACAGAGTGAGAGGGCTGGTGTGTAGTGAGAGGGCTTGTTTTCAAACAGGTTACAGAGTGAGAGGGCTGGTATTCGTAACGACACGCACCTGCTAATTTCCTCTCTGACCTCTCTGAGGACCAACTAACTTACCACATATTCTGTCCGTATGTACAGCAGCACATGAGAAATGGTGATACTGTAAATAATGTGAAGAAAAACTAGATGACTTCACCAAACTGAAATGAACTTATGTTCACATGTTGATTGGTGGAGAGCAGCCGATCATTACATAAAATGTGTGGTCAAAAGTACACACATCCTCTATTGGACTAAGAGGGACTAAATGTTGAAAAACCCTCTGCTTGATAATAATGCAGTGGCTAAACCAGGCTATCCTGCTATCACGCATAATACATCTGGGTAAAGAGCTTTGTGGACAACTAGACCCTTTAGAAAGGTTAATCATCCCATTTGAATCATCCTCTTGAGGTTGTGACTTGTTCTGACTGTCTATCCCTTACTCATCTCTCTCTCTCCCTCTCTATCCTTCCCCTCTCTCAGATCTCCCTTATTCCTCTCTCCCCGACTCTCTCGGCCCCCCCCCCCCCCCCCCCCCCTCTTTCCCTCCCTCTCTTTTCTTCCCTGTCCCCCCTCCATCCCTCTACTCCTCTCCATCTTATGCTGTTTTAACCAGGCATATGACTAGATAATGACATTTGACCCTGTAATCCTCCACATGGCTCTGGTCTTAGTCTCAGTGATCTGTGTGCTACAAGGTTTTATGTAAACAAGGAAAATAATAAATCTCTCTCTCTCTCTCTAAAACATTACAACGGCATCTGTTCCTCATGTCTCCAGATTGACCTACCCAGGAAAGGATACATAGTATTGTTCATAATACTGTATACATAGGCCTATGTGTACATTTCTCTACATCTACAATATAAGAATGCATAAAACTATCCTTACATTCAGCGGAATTACACCCACAATAATAAAAGTCTTCACAGCTTGACTGTTTGTGTCTGTTTGTGGTGGATCATTTGTGAAACCACCCAGTAATGATGATGTGACTTTTATCCCAGACTTATCACAGTCAGTCTGCCTTTAGATAGTTAATGGTGGCACCACTGGTAGAGGTCTCATTGTGATAATGTCTGGTTTTTACAGTGACTTTATAACGACTTGATCATTATTATAGAAACATCCTAGGGTTGGGCGGTATACTGTACATACCATATCCTGGACATTTTTCCAATACCGTCAATACCGTTTTTTATAAATTTGAATATTTGTATTTTTAAAATAATGCAGTCAGCTTGTGCACTAGGTAATAGATACATTTCTCAAAACAGCCTATTTGAGCCAGTCACGTGCGTTTGTTTACAAAGAAGCACAATGTGCAAAATGTGAGTTTCGTGAGGTGAGTCACTCCTGCTGCAGCGCAATTTAAGTGAGGTGATCAAGTTACACTTGTATGAAATTCACTACGCTACTAATGTTTGCCCGCTATATATCTTCTAACTATTAAATGAACTATCTAAGATGTGCCAAATAAATTCTCTCCAGCAGGGTTTTGCTAACTTGCTAACGTTAGCGTACAAGATAAAGCTTCTTGGTAACAGCAGCAGAGACAATCCCTTCCTCGATTAAGATCCCTGCTGTCTAATATTTGTTTTGTGTGTGCTGCAAACTGTGTTTTGAGATACGTGCATAACTTTGAGCAGGGTTGTCTGGCTTAGTAGTTAATGTTTGCATGTGCTCGTTAGCATTTACCTAGCATCTGCTATGGGAATTGCTTAACACTTGTTAGCATTTTGCATTTGTTACCTGAAATAATTTTTTTGGGGGGGGTTTTAAGTTCAAATTTTTTGGGGTCGGTAATACTGTATATCCTGGGATGGCACAGGCATGGTATGAAGGTATGGAAATCTGAATGTGGTTTATGAACGGTGTAGGCCTCTGCCAACAGAATACCAGCCGTTTCCTCATGGG